TATAGCTTGCAGTTAAATACTAAATGAAAATGTCTTTAGAAAAGTTTATTTGCAATTTAAGAAAATATGCAGTGCAATTAAAATATAGAGGAAACGAATTAGCATTTTCCAAAAAGAATAACAACAAAAACAGAACAAGTTACTGATTATGAAATGACCCAAATATCTGCATGCCCCAATCAGTAACTTAAACAACTTCTTTACGCAGTTTCTTTTTGGAAAAGTTTTCCGTTCTCTCCCTTTGAAAATGACAAAAGCGGAGGGAAGATTTAATCATGCCTACATATGTGTTGCCTCAGCAGGGATGATATTACATGAGAAAAGTTGATCTACAGGAGAAACAGATCTGAAAACTGCACTGCATTATATTCTCTCTCTTCTCTTAAATGTCACCTGCTACCTGAATTTTGTGTTTCCTTTTATAGAAATAAAAACATTTCCACCATAAATTGATGCAGAAACTTTCACCGTCCACCGCTTATCCTGCATACAGGGTCGCGGGGGGCTGGAACCAATCCCAGCTGACAATGGGTGAAATCCATCCAATCGCAGGGCCACACATAGACAAACAACCAGTCACACTCACACCTAAGGACAATTTAGGGTCACCAATCAATCAATTTAGGGTCACCGCATGTGGGAGGAAGCCAGAGCACCCGGGAGAGAACCCACGCAGACACAGGGAGAACGTGCAAACTCCACACAGAAAGGCCGGGACGAACCCGGGACCTTCTTGCTGTGACGAACCCGGGACCTTCTTGCTGTGAGTTAACAGTGCTATCCACTGGGCCACTGTGCTGCCCATGTGTCCATAAGATCAAATAACGTAATCATGATCCCACAGGCATCCAGGAATTGAGCAAAACTAAACAAGTTATCGGGGGGTGGCGGGTTAAGCTCAGCTTTGTCTTAGGGAAGACCCACAGTCTCAGACTTTGAAAACCCCTACATTATGTTACATTAAGACAATGTAAAAAAGGAAACAAAGGGCAACATAGATAGCATTTTAAAGGGCCAAATAAAATAGAAGATACAAATTTGATTAAACTTTATATACAGGGGCAAAAGTTGTTACCTCACTCTTTGCAAGTGCTCCACCAGTGACATTAGTCATGAGAAAGGTAATCTGTTATCATATCTGTCTCAAATCCATCTAATGGCCATCCTGAGGTAGACAGAGACGGGGGCCAATAGAGGGCTTTCTTCAGGAGTAAAATTAAGACTCTACACAAGATTTCCTCAAAATCCTGAGGGTAAAAAAACTAACATCACACAATGAAACCCTGGCATTTACAGATTACAATGACAGAAACGTGGTCTTTAGTTTTACTCTGTTGACCAGCTCAAGATTATGTTCCGATTTGTCTTTTAAAAATCAAATATATTTGATTTAACCATAGGGCCAGTACTGGTCTGATGGTCAGTCTGGATCAAGTAAGAGATTGTAATTATAAATCTTATCTTGAACATGTTCCTGGCATTATGTGAACAGCAGCAGCTTGTACTAGACCTGCTGGACCCCTTACTGAAGATTGACCTTCAGCATGTTTATTGTACACTACTGAGCATGTTGAAAGTGGGGTGCCATCTGAAACATGCAAAACTCAAGGATCAGTGCATTCTAGAAATCCCCCTAGAGCATGTTACAGTTTTGTAGGAGCCATGAGAAAATCATGTAGTCTCCATTTGATGAAAGCACAGTTAAGACTCCTGAGAGACAGAAACTTACACAAACTTGAAGGTATACACTTGACATTTCTTTAGACTGATGGATGTTTGTCAAGATACTCCTTTTTATGTTTGAAACAGGGCTCTCTGCATGAACACATGAGGACATTTGTCAATGGCCTATGCAGCCTAGAGAAGCAAAGAGCTTAAGTCAAGTAAGTCAAGTATCTGCAAGAACACTGGAAGTGCTGTTGAACCAGATCTCCAGGAGATGTCAGCAAATATCTACAGTAAGTACAGTAGATCAGAGAGACAAGGTTACACATTTTGACTTATAGGCATAAGTGCCAGAAAGCCTTGACGTGGTTTATTTATAGCACGTATATATTTAGACTGAGTAAAGTTACATAAAGGAAAAGCTTTTAATAGAAAATACATCTTCTAACCATTATGTTAATGATATTTAAAAGTTTGTGTTTTGACACTTGAAACACTGAGTGTAAGTTTTAGCTGCTATACAGGTTTTTCCATTTAACCTTTCCTCCCCAACACTTTTCCAACCCCCCCATAATTTCAGACCTGAAAACAAGAGCATAGCCTAATTACTACAGCAGCTGTCAGCATGCTAACCTGCCGTCCAACATGTGGGTCCAACAATAGCGTCCCCTGTGGCACTGCCATCCAGTCAGCTCAGCACAACGTTCAGCAAAGGGCTTCAGAGCTCATCAAACACAAAATCTCCCACAGAAACAATGCTCCATATCAATTTAACGCAAATTCTAGGGAGTGCAATAAGCTGTGGGCTCAAGCGGCTGTAGCATTTGGGCGTCAGTATGCAGGGCTGCTTCTAGCGACGTAAGAAAAATTAATCTGAGGAAGAGTTTATGCCCAAGGCTTAACCACCACCCCCCACCCCCGGAAGCAAGCATTACTTAAGACTTTACTTTTTTGTTATTTTTTATTTTTTTTGACTGAGCTACGTGGCAAATGAAAGTGACAGAACAGGTTGTGAATGTTTAGGCTATGTGTGTATGTGCGTGCGTAGGCACCCTTTTAGTTTGCAACTCTGATGCTTTCTGCCGCTCAGAAGGATATACTGTGTGTCTCGCTGCTTTGAACTTCAACAGACACAGTGCCAGCAGTTGCCAAGCAATTACATGAAGCCTGCGCTCTGGGCGTGCCTTTGGAAAGCCAGACAATGTTTTCTTTTTTTTCTTTCTTTTTTTTTGCTTTGGTCAATAAATGACATAATAAAATATGAATGAGAAATATGGCCTGTGCCTCTATGCTCCATGTCTGAGAGGTCCAGGTGGTGTGGTAAAGACAATCCATCTCCTGACCGTGGTACCCAGCTGGGATGCTGAGGGCCAGATGGTCTGCTCACAACAGGTAATCACAGTCAGCATGCTGATACACTGACATCCACACAAATGGGTTACCAGAACTACCCAGAGCATTTGGGATACTGTGATAGCACCCTGCCATTCTCTAGGGCTTTTATTGAGTCTGACACCAGTGCTATGCAGCAGAAGTAGTGAGTTACACATATTTACTTTACAAGACATGATTTATTTATTAATTTTGTAAAGAAATACATGTTTATAATCTCCTTATTACCATTTCTCATTTGATGCCATGATAGTAAAGATATAATGTCAAATGATGTTTCACAGAAGTTTCTGTTTGTTATGTGCATATCATTAAGTTCTTCTATGAAAACAATTTATAGAGAAGGTCAGATCCTGGGGCCCACCTCCTATATTAATACACTTTTCCCCTGCGGAGGCAAGCTACTTTAAAACTCCTACTGGTTCAGGTTTCCACTTGCATGCATTCATTGAATTCATTATTTTGAAAGGTTTTGGGTATTATTTATAGTGTTGGAATAAAATGTTAAAAACTGTATACGTGGCATAATAAGTGGTCTTATAAACAAGGTCGTAGTCCCTTTGAAATAGTGCTTTCAAGATGAGAAAACAAAAGTTTGGAGTCCCAGTTATGAAAGGTTTTCGTCGTGTAGGTGGTGCAGATAATGTCATGGTATTACTTGAATATTAATATGTTACATAAAGCTGTGCATTGAGATACATGCAGACGGTCATGTCAAGAAGAATTGTAAAACCAAAGTATAACCCAAAGCTACTGCATTCATCTTTAATGATACAAGAGAATTCATTACCATTATGTTTAATAATCAGATATATTAGCAATAAGAACTCCTGCTTTGCTGTCATTGTACTTTAGATAAATCCCCCCAGTACGATACAAACAGCTCTATGTTGCACACACCTCCCCCAGTCTCTAACTTGCTCCCCCTCCCTCTCTGCCTCTTTCAGCTCACTGAACTGAGTGAAATGTCTTTCCGACTAAATGATTTTTTTTTTTTTTTGCACGGTGGGAACGTTGCCATGGAGACAGCAGTGCACCCCCCCACCCCCACCCCCACACCCCACCCCCAACCCCTCCTCCCATTTTTCTCTCTCAACAGTCCACAGCATTAAAGCTGTGCGAACTGGTGCGTTGTCACGTGTGCATGTGCGTGTGTGATAGTGGTGTGTATGTGTGCATTTTGCTCTTCTTGAACTGTTAACACTGTCAGTATGCTGCAGGTGCCCCATGATGAGTGTGTATGATGAGTCTATATACGGAGCTATCCTCCTCCACCTCCTGTTTCCACTTCTATACACATTCACACACATCCTGCTTGCAGCTATCCCCCTCTCCTCTCCAGGTTTTCCCATTTGTGTCTTCTTCCTCCTCCTCCTCCTCCTCCTCACTGGCATTCTCCTGCTCTTCATCCTCCCTCATTTGTTTAATCCTCTCCTACTCCTCCTTCTCTGTCATTCTCCTGCACATCTCAGCTCGGTCTTCCTCCTCTCTCTGCTTTCTGCTGGAGCCCTGGAGTTACTGATTGCTACTGGTGTGGATTTTTGCTTTAACAAATTACATGATTGTTTTAAAAAAATAAAGGGAGACAAAATAAAAGTAGGGGGAGGCCAGATGGATATAAGCACACGGAGCAGGCAGTCATGCTCCATTTTGCCTAAATGCAAAATGTGGCCACAATAAAGAATTCATGACAAAGTGGCTGAAAGCAGAAAGTCAGAGAGCTTGGAGATAAAAAAAAAAGTTGGGTTCAGGCTGCTTCTGTCCAGGTAGAGTGCCTTACCTTCCATGCCTTAGTCAAATATAGACTGTATACATCTAAAAATGCCCAAGGCCTTGCATTTTATATGTAGCACACTCCCTGGGGTGTGTGACAGTAGCTTCACCACCTCTTCTGCTCTCTTCCAACTCAGTGGATTAAAAGAAGTCAGAAACACGAAGCTGGATGATACATATCCTTTATTTCCATTATCACTGCTTCAGCCACACTGTTACTTACACATTCACTGAAATCCTGCAACCTGATACAGCTGTCCTGAAACAATTGCCCTGACTGAACACCTCAATCAAATTCTCAGCTTTAACCAATAAAAAAGTAAACCTCTTGAATAAATTATATATTTAAAAAAACTATTGAAAAACAAAAAGGATACCAATTCAAGAAAGATAAGTACAGCATAAACAATGTTATTTCATCATCGTTGTTTTTGACCACAGAGATAAACAATTGCTAGGTCTCCATTTAGTCGTCATTAGTAGTATTAGTATCAAGTTCATTGTCAGATTTTGCTTAAAGCATCACTTATATAATTTTTCATTGCATCGAGTTGACATCATTCATGTTAATATAAGCATGCAAACATGTTTCCCCATGACCATTCGGAACTGCACTAACACGAGAAGACAGCGAGAGAGAGAATAGAGACGAAAGAGGGGGGTGTCGTACACAGAAAGAAAGAGGGCAAGATGGAGGGATGTGAAATAGTAGAGTGAGCGGGTAGGTTCGTGGGAAATAGATAGGTGAGGGAGAGGTGGGGGAGTGGAGCAGGAGGAAAGGTAAGGTTTGCAGGAGGAGAGAATGAGTAATCAGACAGTAATCACACAGACAGAAGGAGGGGGGGGGGCAAGGAGGTAGCAGAGGGAAGAAGAGAATAAGGGAATTTGCTGGTTCCACTATGAGTTTTGTAATCTATCACCAGGCAGTAACACAAGGGCTAAATAGGGTAGACACAAGCAGAGAGAGAGAGAGAGAGAGAGAGAGAGACTGGGAAAGAGAGAATTGTGGGGCATTGAGACCAATGTATCAATACCATATCTACTTTTACAAGCTAGTCAGTAATCCTCCAGCTGACAAATCACACAGAATACCTGCGGGTATCAATCGGGATGTGTCCCTTCCTGCGTACCCGATCAAGCACACTGGTAAGTCTCACTGCACTTCCATGGTCCAAAGGTTAAGAGAAAGAAACTAGATTCCTTCCCTGAAACACACACACACTTCTCCATAAATGTATGCGTGTCTCAGAGGATGAGAGAGAAATGGCAACGATAGCAATACAAGTAGCTTTAGTGAGGTGTTGTACTGTTGTTTTGCTGAGGTTACAGTAGTAGTTGTAGTAGCGGTGACAGACATGGCTTTATAAGTCTGTATCAGTTTACACAGGAAGTGCAGACATTGCAGGCCCTTGTTTTCTCACACCTCCTCCCTGTTGTCTTGCTCTAAGGGGATCTAAATTTGTCATGATCTGTAGGCCGTAACAAATGAGCCTCAGATGTTTTTTTTCTTCATTTTTTTGTGTTCCTTCTCATAAATTTAATCAAAAACACACCCACCAATTTCATTTTCAATCACTGTGCCATCTGTTTTTTCCCTCGGACATACAGTACACAAATTACTGAAAGAAGTACACAATCAACACAGTTACTTACATCAGGCAAAGGGTTAGGGAGGAGAGGGGGAATGAATGATTGGCAGCTGATTTCAGAGACGACATAGACAATACAAACTAATGTCTATGAAAGACAGCATTTCCCCACCTAGTGCAATGAGGCACGTAAAGTACACACACACACATTCTCACACACACACACACACACACACATTCTCATACACACACACACACACACACACACACACACACACAAACACAAAATGGCTCTTTGTAAAGACACAGGACAGAAGACACAATTTGGCTCAGAGATGAGCGCTCTGTCAGTGGATGCAGGGATTTGGGGTGCCAAAGACAGAAAAGGGATGAATGAGGCGGTGAGCACAGAAACGTGTCACACACAAGGTCACATTGACACACAAGCACACACACACACACACACACACACACACACACACACACATAGACACGCACAAATACAAAACAAACACACCCACAAACACGGAAACACACACTAATAAAAGCAACACGGACACGGTGTGTCCTTCTAAAGTCTTGTCAGAGACATGATGTGGACTTGAAGATAACAAATTTCTCAGTTGAAGCTGGACAGTGACTTCTTGAGAAAATAAAATAAAAAAGTCCTAGAATGATAGAAAAATAAAATAAAGTGGTGATATCCTTCCCTGTGGAATACATCCTCCAGCGATTGCACTCCAAACAGATGCTGGTCCTATCGTAAACACCGGTTTCATTCAGCCTGTGTAGTCCTACATTAGGAAAAGTCTGCCAGTTTGGCCAGAAAGCAGAGGACGATCAAATAGTCCATGTCTCTCAGACGCTCACACCAATGCATCCTCAGTGAACTGTAAAAAAATGGCATGAATAAACTTCTTTCCTGATGGTTACATGTATACTGTTTCACAAAAATAAATAAAATATATATTTTTAAAACTGATACTGATGAGCATCATGAAGACCATGACAAAAAGCAGGAGGAAGTGGGACACATTTCAAAGTTGCGTAACATGCTTAAACCAATGAGGCCGTCCTCATTTTTCACTCCTTTGACATCAATAAAGACCACTGGACGCTTTGTCGTCTTTCCTCTGGGGAAAATAAGCGAGTTAAGTCTGAAATAAGAGGGTACGAGCCTGGTGAAGGCGTCCAAAATGGCCCGGAAGAATCCACCTCCGATCGTTTTGTCCTGCTAGGTACTACAAGATTTGTTTTCCCATGAGAGATGTTTTCTCATACAGTATGGTATATACTGTACACCGATGTTGCAAAGAAAAATATCGACATAGTGATTTTCTTCTTTTATAGTCTGTACAAGGGCATGAACCTTTGGTCCTGGTTGAGATTACCATTCTAGGATGGCTTTTCTTTTTTCTTTTTCTTTTTTTCAAGAGAGAAAAGTTTGTCACATCACACTCCTCCTAGATGACATACTACACTAATCTGAAGCACACATGAACTACGCACATACTACAAACTCTGTGTGTATTTGTGTGTGTCTGTGTGAATTATGTGTGTGTGTTTACTTGCTAGATCCCAAATTTACACCCGATATCAGTTCTACCGTACCATTTAGTGTCTGCAAGTGTTTGTAAATGTGTAGTCTGATGCACAAAGTGTAGCTTGTGATGGATGTTGTTTTGTTTTTTTCCCCGGCTTAGTAAAGACAGCACAGGACTTGGAGGATTCATTAGCAGGAGCAAAACAGCACTAGCAGTTGGACACTAGCAGTGTCTCCGTGTCTCTCGTTCTTTGATGGAAAGAAGTATTCACAGATGAGAGGAAAGAAAGGAAAGTCTGGAGTTGGAGAGACGATAATGACCTGAGGAAAGAGGGAATAAGGGAGAAGAGGCAGATTAAGCAAGAGAGAGACGGTTGGGGGGCAAGAGAATATATAAACAGCATGCAGTACTGTAAGTTTGGGGGGAGGAGGGGGAGATGCATTACATAACCCATAACATCTAGATTATACAGATGGTTCTGCCTTAGAGCTCCTACATCTGACAGCTCCACAGCCTCCACTTTATCACACACTCACAGTTAGGTCATGCTTTTAAAGATACGACCAGTTTTCCTGTGTAAATTTAAATTGAGAGCATCTGCTATACAGTATGTAGATGTACTTCTGATACAGTGAGTTCTGACAGCAGAAATCAAGAAGGTATTGGATTGAACTGTGGGTGGAATAATGATACAAATGCCAATGAACTGTTGCCTAAAAACAATCCTACAGTATGTATGAACGCATGCAGTTAAGAAAACAAATGTTAAATGTCAGATCTAACCAGAGAGAGGCTCACAGTTTTAGTCGGAGTGAGGACTGTCCACCACAATGTGCGGCTTTGGGGAGGATGCCGTAGCACTCTTCGACACAAATGAGGCAATTGCTTTTTCCTGCCGGGAAACAGAGATTTTGCTTATATACATTTTTTTATGACAAAAAGAACCACTTTTTTACATTCAGTTAAAATAAATGACATTTTCTGATTATGACATGCTTTTACCACTGCTATAACCATTACTATTCCCACCACTACAACTACTATTATTACAACTGTAATAGTGCAACATTTCGTTGGATGACAAAAATTCAGGTTGCATTACTATATAGTAAATATGAAGCAACAGCTTAGCTTAGCATAATGAATAGAAAATCAGGAGCAACAGCTCACCTGGCTAAATAGATTACAAAAGCTTATAAAATTAACATATTAAATCTTATTTGTTAAATCTGTACCAAAAACATGTAAAAATGACATTGTGGTGTAAAGGCTGGTTGGCCAATCTGGCTAATGTCGGTAGCTTCATATTTACTACACTGAGAACTAAATACAATTTTGTTTATTTCCACATTATGCTGCCCTATTTTTATTTTTATAATAATTCTACTCCAGCTCTACAGTAAGTAGTTAATTTCCTTTCATTAAAGTTTGACATGCAAAACATATAATTAGCTTTAAAATATGACGCATTGTAATGGATTAATTACCCAACAGTATATAAAGTAATTAAAATGTGTTCCAAAGAATGGTTCATTCTGCTTATTGAGAACATTTAATTGATACTTTATTAATTCACAAGTTAGTACATTTTGCTGGTAATACTTACTTTTATCTAAATGTGAAACTGCTACTTGAAATGGAACATTTAAACATTTTGGTACGGCTTCTTTTTATTATGTAAAACACCCAAATAATAATTCAATCAATGTTACTTTCATGTTTTCTGTAGCATTAATTCTATGCTTCTAGCACCACTATGGCTATTCTTCAAGTATCATCGTTACTACTACTTCTAATGATAATGATAATCATCAATCATATGATAAAATAATGTTGGTTATCAGGCCCAAAACCAACAGAGGAACAGGCCATAATATACGTGGTAAGAGATCGTACTCATGACACATGGATGCTCTCACACACACACACACATGATCATATGCTCATTACCTCCACAAGCTGATGCCAGTGCTCTATTGGTTTGCGTGGATTGGCCAGCATGGCTGCCCAGTGCTCCCTCCCTGGACCCTCAGCGTCACTGCCCACGCGACACATCCCTATAACCTCGTTATGACCAATACTGACACACAGCAAGGGATGGAAGCAAGTACAAGAGAGACAGAGAGAGAACGAGAGAGAGAGAACAGAGTAGAGAGTAGAGAAGGGAGCGGGATGGAGAGAGGCAGCGAGAGAGGATATAATAAAGCAAGGAGAGAGAGGGAGACATTGCTTGTAAGATACAGGCAGAGAGAGTCTCATTTATCAACTTTTAGTATTGGGAAAAGAGTACAGCATTTGAGGAAGGATACTGAATAGCAGCTCACAAATACACACGGCCCAGCATAAAAGCTAGATGTCAGTGGGAGAGCAGGCACCAGCACGAACATACAAAAGCACACACCTATGGAGATGCCAAATGGAGGGCAGACTACATAATAGGGAGGCGGCACATCTATACACAAACACAGCCAAGTGTTGCTGCAAGCGGCAGACAGACAGACATTGGCAAGGTTACACTTCTTCCTTCACCCATTAGCATAAATCATGCTTATTCATGAGGTCCCTGTCTATGTAAAACAGGGAACGTCCACCAGGAGGCTGACTCACAAGGGGGCCCTCATCGTGTTTAACACAGCCGCAACACCATCAAAATGCGACGACCCGAAAGCAACAGAAAACATCACACTGAGTGTGCAAACACATATTCAATAAGCAGCATGCTTCACAGTAATGATCAGTTTCATCTTATAGCCCCTGGAGCATGCTACAATATAATAAGACCTCAGCTTGCTCACCAGTCATAGTCCATCACGGCTATGATGATGGATACACTTTCTATATTTTCATTGGGAATGTCAAACACCAGCGCCTCGTTGTACGTAGGGTTCAGTGTGTTCTTCTTAATGGAGGTCTTCCTCTTTTTTAGCCTTCGCCCGTCACAGATCAGTGAGGCCTTCACGTACGGGTCTGAAGGAGAGACAAGAGACCGAGGGAGAGGAAGACAAAGAAGATGGTATGGATGGAAAAAGAGAGAGGGAGCAAAAAGGGAGTAGTGGGGAGAAAAAAGAAAAAATGAAGGAAGACAGGGAGGTGGGATGAGGAGCAGCGAAGGAGAAAAAGGAAGAAATAGAGAGAGACAGACAGAGAAAGGAAGGAAGCACAGAGAAAAAGATAAGGGGGGACTCCTGCAAACACTGTTAGGTATTATTCTCACAGGTATCTGTGTCTGTAACACATAAAAGGCATGAAAATCAAGTCACCTTGGCAAAGCTGGATTAAGAACACAAAGGGAGAAAAGCAGCACTGGTTGAATCACTCCAGTTATCCATTCAACATGTGCAGCTTGGTGACAGCAGCCAGGGAAAACACACACACCCACGACTCCATTTTTATGCTGCATTTTAAAGCATCTTTCGGCACTGTAATCATCTTGGAATCACTGTGGCAATAATAACGGCATGTGGTCATTATCATTTCAGATCTCATTTAATCTGTGAGGGCACTGCCAAGTCTTTAAGTAAAGGATAACTAAAGAATAAAACCTTTTTAAAATGCCTTGTGTTAATTCATTAGGACCATAAACAATCATAATAATAATGCTGTTTTTGTCTATTTATGCAGACATAATTTGTGCAACACCTGCAGCTGATTTTGATTGCAACAAAACACATTGTCACACATTTTTTATTGGTTGTTATTTTGAAGCTAATTTACTTTGTAGCTTCAGGTTATATATTTGTAATGTATAAACCTCAACTTCTTGAAGGAAAAATCTACCCTCAGATTCTCTTTCACAGTTAGAACCAATCAATCAGGTGCTGCTCGATACACTTATTAGGAATATTTAGCAAATCTTTATAGTAATTTACGTTTTTGCACTTCCCCTTAACATGCTTCATCTAGTTCTACTTCAATTAGAGATTTATATGAAGATAGTTTTACTGCAAAAGAGGGGTTGCATTCCTCAATCAAAATGCAACACGTATCTGTATCAGCTGAACTGCATACTAATCCATTTAGGCTGCTGTAGGCAGAGGAAACTCTGCTTCTTCATTTGGTGTGAAATAGCATAAAACTTACTATTTCATTCCAAGAAACTGGTACCATGTTTACTTGTTATCTTTACATTAAAAAATTTCTCTACATGGCTTCAGGCCATGTATTATTCTGCCTGTTTGTCCAGTTATTAATCAGAATAAGATATAAACCTAGAAGCACTCAAGAAGTCAACATACATCACCAATAGCTGTTTTAAGACAGTGTTACAGCTGTTTTCTGTCATTCTGTCAGACTGCCTGCTGGAGGTTTCAGCAGCATGTGTGTGTGTATGTGTTTATCCTTTACCTGAGAAGCCAGTCAGGTCCATGGCTTTGAGATTGGTGGCCTTAATGACTGTAGCAGTGAGCCTGCCTGCAGTGGGCAGGTAACACAGCGAGAAATTAAGCTCCCCGAGATCAGCCTTCTCCTGTAGGTCAGGACAAACACATAGACAGGGGTCAGAAATTGAGCAGGGCTGCTGTGATCACACACACATGGCATCAGAGTCAGATAGGAAAAACACACAGACAGATATTCTTTGGTTTGCTATGATTGTCTGAGGCCAGAAAAATCTGTGACTGACAGGGTGACAATGGGCATCCCTAATGTGGACAGGCAGAGTGTTTAGGCAGAGGGAAGTGCCGTCACTGTAAATGAATCATTTGCCAATCTGTCGATGTCCCCGAGTGGAGGAAAGTGTTAAGTAGAGGTGACGATTCTGCAAGCTTTATATATCTCTCCCTCCACACCCATCTACTGATCTTCTCGCTGCCTGTGGTCTCAGTGGCACCACAGTAATGACACTGTGGTGCCACTGTGCATGATGACTCCTTAGTGGCTTTGAGCCTCACTAATCAATACTTCCTTGGGTGAAACACTGAAAGACGTGAGAAGCTGATGCTTTAAACTTATTTAATGAATGAAACATCCATGCCAAAAAATTTAAGACCTTGCTCTGTCTAATTTGCTAATAGCTTTCTATTAATATTTCATATAAATCTACTTGTGATAAAAAGTTTTAATGTGGCCAGCGGTGCCTTTCCTGTAATATTTCTGGACTCTCCTGTGCTGTGTTTTTACATTACCAGAATGAATGAATCTGTACTGCAGACAATTTTCAGCCTTCACACTTTCTGTGCATCCCCTATATGCAGTATGAGTATATGATCTTCAGACAATAATTCACATGCTTCTTTGATTCAGATGAAAGCCGTATTCATTTTAATCTTGTAAGAAATTGAAAACTTAATCACCACAAGATATTTAAACTTGAAAATGTAAATGCCACTGAACTGATGGCACTGTAATATTTTAATTTGTAAATTTATCTATCTGAATTTATGTGGTTTAATTTCCACAAGGTCATTTCAGAATATTCAATTTTAAAAAAAACTTTTTCAACTGCTCAAGCTGATCATTTTCTTGGCTTGACGTGTTTGTGTGTGTGACGTGACCAACAGAACATAACCTCACAGGACAGAGATGTGACTGATTCTGAGTTGATTATCCTCAGTAGCCTGAATGTTTTAGTTATTTATATTTTAGTTATATTATTATTTTTCCCCTAATAATTATTATTTTAATTATGGCTTTTTGTTCCATCTACAGCAGGACTGTGACAACAGCTGCTCTAGAGTGACATCAAAGTTGCATCAATTCCCACCTGAGTGTCCAGACTCAGGTCGCATTTAAAAAGTTCTGATCTGTAACGGATTTAGACCACATATGAAAGTGGCCCAGACTGGAAAAGATCCGATTCCATGTGACTTGGTCTGTTCACACTATTCAAAAAAAAGATCAGATCTGGGTCACATATGAGCAAAAAATTGGATTTGGGTCACTTTGGCCTGCAGTCTGAACGTAGCCTAATATTTCAACTTGACTTGAACCACTATGGAAAGCAAACCAGAATCAGAGAGATGGTTATCGAAGATAAACATTTCAGTGCTATAAATTGAGTGGTATTTAAATTGGTTACATTTAAAAGTTTTTTATTCAGTTGCTTATACAAATATTACGAATACGATTACGATACGATTACAATTATTGTGGCCTTTCTTTGCTTCCATAGTGTCACCTTTGCTATGATAGGAAGAGCTGAACAGACTGCACATTGTTTCCATGCTGTCTATGTCTGTAAATTGAATATAATTTATAATACAGGGCTCTGAATTCTGAGATATGTATATATGCCTGTACAACCTCTTTCCAGCAGCTAATGTGAATACGAGGCACATTTTGCACATTATGTCAACAACCACATATCCACAATTTTATTTTATATTCTCATATGTACTCCAATGTGCATATATGTTATTGGGGTTATATTTACCGTTTGGCTTCATAATGCCATACAATACTTGTACATTTTTATCTTCATCATCATTTATTTTCTCTTTCTTCCAGGCTGTAATTCAGATTTATTTTCATACCATGAATGAATGCATTTCTACTTGAAAGATCAAATTGAAACTGTCACTTGTGTCATGTTTGATATGCTCCATTCCTGGTTTTATCTCATCTATCACTGCTTTGGCCCATTATTTGCAGCTGCAAAACCCCGATATCGCCACAAGACTCATTCACATTTCATCTAGTCTAATTTAACATGGCCATCTACTCCAAATGAACGTGATTTTTTTGGATTGTTTCTGCAGCAAAGCTTCGTCCTTACCGCGGTGCCCTCCACAATGTCCCTCCAGACGGGTTTGTCCCCGCTGCCCTCGCTGAAGTCCAGCAGGTTGTCCACCACTACCTGGCCAATCAGGTCGTGTCTGGAGAAGCGGTCGAAGTCATACACAGAGAAATGCAGCTTCCTGGAATGTAGCTCATTCAGCGGCACGCCAAACTGAAACGTCTCATTGAACACTGGGTTTAAGGTCTTTCTGTGCACCTGAGAAAGAAAGAGTTACAATTTGGGGGGTTGGGGGGGACAAACAACAACATTATGTTACAGCCCGCATACCCTGTAACGACAATATAATTACACTGAAAAAGGGGTTAACAAGGGACTGCTTTCTTTTACAGCCCACATACCCCAGACTAACACTGAATGAGGGGTGCTCTCTTCCACATTTTCAATGCTTTGTCTTGATTGTAAAGCAAGGTCACTAAATGTAATGGCCATTACCTCAGCTAGAATTACTCATGCATGCTTCTCTAAAACAGCTGGAAAATTAACAGTTCGTATATGAATAGCTCGCCACAGTATTCCTTAGACTGTATGTTGTCCAATAAACTTGTGTGTGAAAGCATATGTATCCGGGTTCCTTAATTGTTTATGATCTGATAATAATGAAAGTACATTAAAGCTGGTTTAGGTTCTTCTGTAACATCAGTTTTAAGCATCAGATAGATTTGACATTGGATTCCAGTTCCTGCATTTTTTTTGCCCCGTACTTTATCCTAATTTTAAAAAACATATTTCATAGCTATAGCTACAGAGGAACACCCTATTCCCAAACCTCTTGTCTTCTTCCCTTATACTTACATATTTATCTCTGTATTGGTAGCCTATACAGTAATTACACACTGATTTGTGTGCTATAATCTAAAGTGTCAGCAAATATATTTTCTGGCCTAGCCCCAGTTTGTGCCTTTCATGTAACCATTATTATTACATTTGAGTCTTTTGCATTGATGATTGCGTTCCAGTCACATACATGAGCCAAGGTTTCCTCAAAGATAAACTCAAGCCAGATTTTGAAAAACAAAGCAGGTTGTTTGACAGCACTTAATACTGCTTTGTAGATATGTCCAGAATCCTCAAAGATGCTTGTATTTTGCTGATTTAAAAAAATCTACTCCAGAGTAAAGTACTATTTCTAGAATGTTCAACCTGTTTCACAAGGAGCGACTCGACCAAAATAATTTCTGTTTTTCATACCAGAATAGGAAAGTCACTGAGGATTATGGACATTTTTTCAAAAACACAGTAAGTGATGTAAGCAACCTGCCATGTTTTTGTCTTGTGGCTTTTTATCTGTGACTTGAATGTCAGCATCAAAAGTATTATATGTGAAAACTATACTGGCACAAAACTGGAGTTATATTTGGTCAAAATACTTTTCTTTTTTAGAAACATCTTTGGTGCTGCACTCCAATTGCTGTGATGTTTCTTGTACTGAATCTTTTACTAAAGCTGTGTTTTTGTTTTTGTTTATTGCCTGTCTGCTCCTTCAAACCACCCAGTTCTTCTTCTGTTCATCCAAAGTGGAAACATAAAAGTCATCCCTTCCTATGAACCAAATTTTTTTTTCTTACAGAATAGCTACCAGATACTTGTGAAGATAAAAGCTTTGAATAACTGTCTGTGGGATTAATTACACTGCACAAGCAGCAAAACAGACATGATTACATGTAAATGTCATGAAACAGTATTTTCAATTGATCTGCAAGACATATTAGGACACATAATATTCCAGATGGGTTTAATTAATAGTGTGGCCATAAATGACAAAATGTCCTTGAGCAACATAATAAACCTCTACCACACTTGCTGACCTTGTTCCTCAGCCAGATGCAGAAAAGTGAATTTCACCTGTGGGATGAAGAATCAAATCAAAACTGCTGAAATAAGATAAAGGCCTAAAATTACATTTATAACTCAATATTTTGTTTCTCAACACATACCAGGTGCATGATTTATTTCTTTTAAATGTTCCTTGCTTATTCCAAGTTAGTTCACCTCTGTTTTGACTGTACATCGTGTTTTCTGCCTTTTCCATCTGTTACCTCTATAACAAGTCAAATAAAAGAGATCATTTTAAATCAGAGATTGTCGTCTGGTGGAAAGCCTGTGGCTGTAATTTCCCACTCATCATATACATTGCTGACAACATTTGTAAATTAGTCTTCAATCTCATTCAATCTCCAACACAAAATTTTTACTATTTGTTGATTTACTTGTGGGATTTATTTGCAATGAAAGCATTTGATATAAGTGCTGTCATGCAATAAAGCTGGTGTTAATTAAAATGGGACACACTCAATTTTCCAAATCCAACTTTTGTCACTGCATGAGTGGATCTGTCACTCCGGCTTATTAGCACTTGATGATTACTTGTTAGCTTTGGATTAAACATGCAGCTGATGGTGATGCTGTGCCTTTAGAAACCAGAAACACAAAGCCTGAACATCTACTTGTAGGTGATGTCTATTTCTCTTTTGAAATTAGTTGGAGGGATAAAAGCCTAGCCAAATATGAGTGGTGTAAAAATCCCATGTTAATGAGAATGTGATTGAAATGACACAATCATCTACACTCTAAACAAAAGAGGAACACTATTATGCAAATGACTGAAGCATTCATGCTTTTCAATGGCTGAAGGGGCTTTTGTGATATACAGGAGACTGTCCCACAAAAGGGAGACATTTCAAACTGGTACAGCTTCATTGTCAATAAAAGCTTACATTTCACACCCACCTGGCTCTCCAGTCAATGCTGACCCATTTCAGCATCACAATTTCTCCCTATTTTATCCCAAGAGTGCACAAAAGTCCTGGTGATATTTAAGGACATAAAACAGATAACTAGAACTCACATTTGAGAGGCCACTGAGCTCATGAGTCTTGAGCTTCTCCACAGAGAGTAAATTAGAAAGAGGAGAGAGGAGTTTTTTTTTTAAGGTCTAAGGGTACATTTCCTGGTACAGAACGTTCCGAAATGTACTCAAATATTGACTCAACTGTCCTCAAACACCAGAATAACACACAGACACAGGAGTTGAGTAGCAGTGCCGTGTAATAGTCTGAAGCACATTATCCTGAATAAATTATGCCCCAGATTAGATTAGATTACATTAGTGAGACTGTAATGATTTCCCATGAGGAGGCTGCAGAGCAGCAGGAAACAGGCAGAGAGAAAACAACAGCAAGTCAAACCTGATGATGATGTTTAAATGTTTGGGGGATTTTTTTTATTTGTTTGTTTCCACAGTGTTAAGACTGTAGTTTGCCTAAGAAGATACAGGTGAGTGTGGTCGAAGAGGGATTCACCTTGGTCTGGAATTTCTTCTTCCTGTCTGGCAGTAGGTAGATCTTCACATAGGGGTCAGAGAAGCCATTGGCATCCTTCGCTGGCAGGTCCAGAGCTTTCAAGATCTTCACCACCAACTGCTCTGTACTGAGACACACACAAAAACAGCAAATTTGACAAGCTATTAAAAAAAGACATTAGGAGCAGGGGTATCATAAATTTACACAAATACTCTGAGATGTGAGGCCCAGACAATATCAACCCACACACACAAGCACACACCTGTGCAGGCTTTATACACACATAATAGAGTGGGAGGTTCCGTGTCTCTGAAGCAAGGAATAGCCAAAATAGCATGTGTGTGTGTGTTTGTGTGTCATCCTTGCAGCTGTATCATGCATTGGCAATGTTAAATCAAAGCACGGTAAGCACAGATGTACATTTGGAGAGGGTCACCAGATAATTAGTGGTATAGAAATAATCTAAACAAAATTACTTTTATTTTGGGGAACTACTACATAGTATTACCTCTTAAGGACTCAAAAGTTATTCAAATGAAATAAGCTACAATCTGTTATGAAGTGTAACAAGTAGACATGGCTTCATATTATACAACCTCCCAACGAATTGGGAACCACTTTGTCTCTGTAAACTGATTATAATGGAGCATTTTCATTTGATTTAATTAAAGTAACCAGCACAAACAATACATGTTTTGTTTTCTTCTTCTTATCCTTACTTATTTGAAGGCAAAATCTGTAATCTCTAATTTATTTAATTATTTCTCATAACAACGCTGTAAAACAGAACTATATTTTTATTTATGTTAGTTATGTATGGACGTAACTCAATGCAGTTATTTTCATTAACAATTAATCTGATGATTATTTTCTTGTTTAATCATTTGGTCCTTAAAATTTTCAAATGCCCATTTCAGTTTCCTTGAGTCCAAGGTGAAACATCTTCAGATGTCTTGTGCTGTCCTATTATATAACAGTCCATAACCTAAAGATAAATAGAGAAAAGCAGCAAATATTCAAATGCGAGAAGGACCAGTGGCTTAGTTTGGCATTTTTGCTTAAGAAATGACTCAAACAAACAATCAAATAACAAAATTACCCCAAAACATTCTGACAATTGGCTGATTAATTAAACAACTGATTCTTTCAGCTCTACATTACTTATAAGTCAGACTGTTGTATATAAATATTTAATATTTTATGAGGCCAAATAATTACAGGCTTTAAGAGAAGTCAAGCTAAAAGAGCTATTTCACTGACAAGAATAAAATGCGAAAAGGACAGGAATATTAATTTGTAATTCATTTTTAATTTGTACATTGGTGCTGTTTTCTTTTCTCTGGTATTATTTTGGCACAAAAACATTTAAAGATAGCAAAGGTAAAATCCACACAAATGTGCAAGCATATAGGCACACACATTTGAATGTATGTGTGATCACACATACATTCAAATGCTCCATCCAGAGTCATGGCTGCGTCTCACGCGCCATTTATTATGTATTTAATTACCAGATGAAGATGAAGGCAGCTTGGAGGCCTTTAATCAGACCTCGTTAGATTGTGTCTCCCCGTGTTAACCAGTGTGTCAGCACTTCATTAGCTGCTTTAGGAGAGCAATGTGAACTTTGGGGCTGAGGAAGGATCAGCAGGACAAACGCCAACAGTGAACCCGGCAGTTATAATGTCTTCAGTCCATGTGTACCAATCACAAATAAGATACGCTTGTTGACAATACAACCATAGCCAATCCAGACACGTGTTTACCTCTGAATCACATCCAATTAAGACAATCGGATAAAAATGCCCACTCTGCAATCACATCAAATCAGGGAGATGATACTCAGGGCATTTTGCTGGAGGAAATTACATTTCCAACTCAGCCAGATAAATATTTTAACGAGAATAACCTGGCTATTTTAAAAATGTATCTAATGATCTTCAATCCAGTATGATTTTGAGACATGATTTGGCATGCATGGGTTACAGCACTGCTCAGTTGTACAATAATTAGAGACGACAGGAAGTTTCTGTACAAAAAAAAAACACCCCTTCGTGATCATGAATTTTCCTGCATTTGTTATTTGTTTCAAAGTCATGGCTGCAGGTTGTCCTGCACATGTCTTCTTATAGAACAAGACATGAGCTTGAACCAAAACCAAGGTTTTTACACAATCCATGAGGCATGCTGCAGATAATACACCTATTACTCCTCGAGCAGAAAGCGAAATTCATGGCCTTATTCCTGGCAGACAATGCCCCAAAGCCAGCTGTTCTTCTCACGGTGGGAATGTGTCAGTTTTGAATGGGATTGTCAATAGAAATGCCTTTCCCAGAGGATCGGTGGAAAATTGACATTGTTGTTCTGACTGTTACACTCCAAACAGTGGGGTCTCACACATTAACATACCAGTCGTATCACAGCTCGAGTGTTAACACACCTCTACATGTGTATCTACACACAGGCCCACATACTCGTCTTGCAGCTACATCTCTAACCTTTCTTCTGTTTTCTTCAGTCACTCTGTATCGTAATTAATTAATTAATTCACGCCTCTGTGTCTTATGCAAAGCATTTTGAATTGCCTTGTGGTTGAAAGGTGCTATACAAATAAATTTGCCTTGCCTCGCCTCTTCTACTCTTCTCGCTAAAACAATTTCCCTCCAGTGTAATGACAGGCAACTACAGCATGGCATAGATTATCTTGTGACATTATAAATAGGAAAAAGGGACACATGAACAGTTTTAATCATTAACCTCCCTCTCCATCCAACTCCCTTGCTAATTCTCCGTATCTGTAACCCCAACTATAACACAGTCTGATGTTATTATGTGTTGACAGGGGCTGCTGTTTAAAGTGGCACACCATATATAATTCATGACTGAAACGGCCTCTCGCTCCCTTTCTTTTCTGACCATCAGCACTTTCGCCTGTTGTAATGTTTCTACATGTCAGGGGAGGCTGAAATGGGGGACTGCCAGCTGAACTGCAGACAGACACACTCAGGCACACAACCTCCCTGACTTACAGTACACATACACATTCATATACACTCTCCCATCACCCAGTCCTCACAGCATGGCATCCGTAAATTACATACCCAGTTCTCCAGCAAAGAATATTGAACAGAGAATTGTCAAAGGAGCAAAAGGAAAGTAACTACAGCAATCTGTGCCACACACTACATAAAAGACACTGACGCTGCTTTGTCACTTGCATTTGGTCCCACTTTCTTCTTTTTAGACATTAATATTTCAGTATTTCAGACTATCATAAACACATAAGACCACATTCGAGACAACAACTAGTATCCTCTCACATCTCACGCTAGTAATGTTAGCTGCTGTTTTTCAAAATGACGACCACGTTACACATAAAACCCTATGCATACTGTCTCAAGTCAATTTTCTACTTGAGTCGGAGGCTTTCTTTTTGTGTCTGCTGAAGAGGATAAACACGCTGAAAGATATTTTCCCAAGAAGCCCCCTCTCTCTGTTCTGTGCCATAAGGAAATTCAGCAAACCAGTGTCTGTTCGCAACCTTCTGACTGAGTGTTTGAAGAACTGCACACCCACCGCTACAGTCAAAGTGGTGCAAAAACAGACACATTAACATTCACCGGAGACAAGCACAGCTGTACTAATGTAGTTACACTCAGAGTCGGATTCATCAAACAGTGCTCAGGTCTGAATTTTACTGTGCACAGTTATCACAAGCATCCACAGAATGCAGAATTTATTTACTATGCTCTTTTAAACCAAGCTGTGGGCATGGCTCTATGGATGGCAACGTCGTTCTGCCTTACACTTTCCTGGAGTGCCATGGAATTCTATATTTTCGGTTGTACACCCTGCTTAGTCCAAATTAGCAAATATTCGATTGCTTACACTCTCAACTAAGAGAATGAACATGATAAACATTATATCTGGTAAAAAGCAGGAATTTGGCAATGTCACAGTGAGCATGTTAGCATGTTGATGTTAGCATTAAGCTATATGATGTCCCATGTTGTGCTTTCATCTTGAGGTGGCTGGGGAGGAAACTTTACTGTTTTAAGCTAAAAATGATTTTCCAGTGCATCCAGCTCCACAGGGAAAAGAGGAAAGATGTTTTTAAGACTAAAAAGGAGGTGTGCAGCTTTCCAGACAGCAAATCAATGGGGCTCAACACAGACGCTGGTGCAGCATCTTTTTGGCTAACATGGTGGTGATGTAATGGCCTAATTGTTTATGGTGAAACTTTGTATCTTAAAATTATGGTGCCAATGATTTATTAAAGTTAAAATGCTACACTTTTTACATAAGAGGACACTGACAGAGTGAGTAGGTTGTTTTGGTGAATACTCGCTGACTTACTTGAAGGCATAACGCAGGAGGAAGCTGATCTTGCCGCAGTTGTCGCCCTGTTTGCCTTCGCCTTGGTCGCCCTTGGGTCTGTAGAGTTCTGGTTTAATCTGCCCAATGCTGGTTACCTGCTCCTTCTCGTCAGCGTGGAAATCAGGACTGGAGAGCTGGTGAGTCATGGGCTTGGGCCTAAACAGACACATAAGAGCTCGGAGGGTGAATATTAAGAGCACACAAACACACACACACACACACACACACACAAACAGCAACAAAAAAAATGCTTTGCAACAATTTGATTCAGCAGCTTAATCAGAGATGCAGTGGCGGGTAAAACCATCTAAATAGAGTTTACCCACTGTTTTTATTTGCATAAGAGTTTACACACCTTTTTACACATGCATGCATCATAGTAAGTGGTATCAAATCAAGGCTAGTTGAGTGATAATGGTGCTTCTGCAGTACAAACACACATTAATATCTGTTTAATATAGTGAAATGTTCTGTGTGGGTAAAGGTGAGCAAGATAAAAGCAAACACTGTGCAACCAATATGTTTTTTATCAGGTAATCATCACTGAAAATTAAGAAATGATCACTAGCTGGAGGTCAAGGTTCACTCCAGTTTTTATTCACTACTACATTTATCAACAAAAACACATAACCGACAACAACTACAGCTGGATGAAAAATGCACATACTCTTTTAGACCCACACTTGTGTCAAGTACATTCACACACTCTGTACTGACCGTGGGGTCACCTGCTGCTGGGAATGAGCGTTGGGAAGGTCTTTAGGGGGATGCGCCCCAACCTCTGAGTTGGGGACATCTGGAGACGTCTGACTCAGCTTCAGAGTTCCTAACAGAGTGAGAAAATAGACAAAACAATCCTTAATGACTCACCCGTGTTATTGTGGCCTTAGTTGTTACGGTGGCTAAGAAGGATGTTTGTTTGTTTTTTTGCAATGCAGGGTCAGCATCATTGATCGCATTGATTGCATCACATTGATTTAACAGAGTGATTTAGGAGCAGAGAGAAGGGAAGGAATGAGCAGACATATTTACAATAGCAGAACATGAGCCAGCATGCTATGCATACAACACAGAGATATCAAAGAGATACAATATCTCTATGTGTATTTGTGTTCAGGCTGCAACTTATTTTTATTAAACATTTAAAATGTAATTGTTTGGTCTATAAAGCATCAGAAAACAATGAAAAAGGCTGGTGAATGCAAGTTAAAGGTTCAGTGTGTAAGATTTAGTGGCATCTAGTGGTGAGGATTGTGAATTGCAACCAGCTGTCCAGTCTGCCACTGCCCCCTAACCTTTCACATCTCAACTATGGCTGACAAAGCACAAAAAGTGTCTCTTCTGAGACAGCAGAGAGTGGCCAGTCAAGAAATGAGGTTTCTTTAGGTATATTTATTAAGAAATTATATTTACTTAATTATTCAGTAAAACCATGTGTTATTGTCACTTGGCCACTGACAGATAACATGGAAAATGTAAGTCAAGAGTGTGAAACACTGTCACAGTTTCTGTACCACAGTCCATTATAAACCACACATTAGATAAAGTTTACAAACATTGACAAGGGAAACACATTCATTCTCTCAGTGATTATGGACCCTCGTCAAAACTGCCCACCAGCAATAATATCTGGCCCACGGTCAGATTATGGTGCTTTGATAGCGGCAAAAAATATAAATAAATAAATACTTTGATAGCGGTGCTGGAATAGATCTCAGTCATGACAGCAACAGTTACTCACATAATCACTTCCTCTTTAGTGGTTTTGCTTACAAAATAAAAGCGTGAGAAGCTGAAAACGAATTAAAAACAGTGCAGCACATGCCGTGATCTGAGAAACATTAAATTACATTTACATTCGCTGCAGAATCCATTTGTTAAAGTGAGGGGGAAAAAACACCTGTCCCAAGGTGGGTTCAAACACTCCACCCTTGCAATGCAAGTCCTGCACCTTAACAACTGAGCTAACTAAACAACATATTGATATAAGTCAACACCATGTGTTATATTCTCACCCACCATCTCATGGTTGGAAATATTGCTCAGATGCTAAACTTATTTGCCAACCCCTGCAGTACATAATTATCACTACTTCTTTTTCTAACATACATATTCAACATAATGATAAGTGTCTGCACTGCGTAAATTCCACTAGAAGTACAACAAAAAGAACGTAGTGATGAAACGCGCTCTGTAGCGCTGTTTGTCCGTTTTCAGCTACTGTAGAAACATGACGATGCAACGTGGCAACGTCCATGGAAGGCTCATTCTTAGGTAATAAAAACATAATGGTTTATTATGTAAGGTCTTTACTCACCACTGAAAACCTAATTATATGGATCTTATATTGCATTTCTGTCAATACATCCTGAGAAATATTACACACTGAATCTTTAAAAAAATTCGAGAGCTCAAGGTGATGTTATTAAATTTCTTGTTTTGTCCAATCAGTCCAAAACCCCAAAATATTAAATTCACTAGACAAACAAAAACACCCTATTCTCCCATTTCAGGAGAAAATGTATGGCATTGTTTACTTGAAAATGACTAATTCTGATGATATATTATCAAAATAGTTGCCAAATACTTTTCCTGGTTGCAGCACAAATTTGGAATAAAAAAAAGTATATTTAAAAATTAAATCAAATCGTTATGTACAATGTGAAAGGGGTGCTTGTAGTAACAAACCCACACAGAAGACAACTCGGCATCACTATCAAGCTTTTCAGCTCATCGTATTGGTTTCTTGGCACATTTACTCTTTGGTTCGGCTTCACTTTGGTTCAGCCTTGTTTCAGTAGTATCAGGCAGCAGTTCTGCAAACAAGCTCTGATAAAACTAGCCGGTGAAAAAAGTCAAACATTTTGCATTTTGCAGAGGTTTGCAGAAACCACAACAGAGGTGCAAGAGAATCTAGGAGTTATATTCCCCAGGTGACCAGAAACATGACACCAAATGCATGATAATATCCAAAGCAGCAATGTGCTAACATGTTGCCACAGCAACCTTAAAAGTAGATTGTGTCTCTGCTTTGAGAAATAAACAGATTAATCCTTTAATAAAAATAAAGCGGTAATTTGTTGTAATTGAAACATCAACTCAAAGCTGCACAACCTCTTTCTAAATTTTACTCCTGTGTAATATGAGATTGGGCCAAGATAAAGTAATATTCCTTGAACGTAGCACTACTGAAAGAAAGCCCATTTATATATACAATAATGGTCAGCATTCATCACACTGTTGCAGCACTGATAAATTATTTTTACTCTATATAGGCAAATGTATTAAATTCAGTACTCTGTGAGTATATTAAAATGAGAAGTTATTGACTGAGGCATTACATTACTCTTACAGTCAGACTGGGATTAAGATTGTCTAATGCCTGGGATCTTACTCCCACTCTCACCAGCATTGTTGGGGTAGGAGTCCATGTCCAAGTAGGAGTGCTCCTGGGTCTCATGTGGCCCCCCAACCACACCTCCGACCTCCCCCCTCTCCAGCCCCACCAAGTCAGAGAAATGGGGGTGATGCTGGCCCTGCTGGCCCAGGGAGGGGTAGAGAGAGGAAGAAGAGTGACCCTCTTTCCTCTGCAGCAGCGGGGGTAAGAGCGACGACCCACCAGTGCCTCCGAGGCTTCCGACGCCGGCGGTTCCGGGCAGCAACCCGGATGTCAGACTCAGGCCTCCACCCTCCTTGTCCCGCCATGGCAGCCAGCAGAGCTTCCAGGAGACAAAGAGGGATACGGAGAGGAGGACGATGCCACAGAATGTCACGATGACCGACAGCAGACTGACAGAGATCTCTACAGGGGACCAGAGAAAGACATGGAGGGGAGGGAGAAGAAGGTAAAGAGATTTAAAAAAAATAAATTAAAAAAATCTACAGTTAAAAACAAAAAACACCAACACCAACAATGATGTCTTTATGCAATGTCATCCAGCATTTCCTCATGGTTATTAGCTTTTTAATCTGTGAGGGCTCAAGGATTGTGTCTGAGGGGTGGGTGGGAGTGTGTGGATACAGGGGGATAGAGGATGTGGGTGTCGGGGAGGGTGTAGTATGACTCATCCGGATGAAAAAGTGTAAAGAATAAAAGAAAAACGCAGTTTCAGCACCAGGATGCTGGACAGTTCCAGCAACAGCCTCTGTCAAAGAGAGCAGAAATGGAGGAGAGTCATCAGCTCCAGAGGCGGGGGACTTTTGTGGTTTAGAAGTGCACAGCTGCACGTGTCGGAGCCTATGATACGTAAATTCATGATGAATTCATACATTAATAAATACCCTATAAATATTCCATGAATGTTTATAAATAAATAGACCCAATACACAATGAATATTTATAATTATCCTCAGCCATTTGAAGTATCTTTATAAATAGCATGTTTATGGGTCTGTCTTAACAAAGGACCAATCAGAGCCCACAATGAATATTCATGAGTTGTAAGTCGACCAAGAAGAATCATTACGATACAGTGTGCACCGTAAACCAAGTACGTTTCCCCACCTTGCAGCATCTAACTGGAATTTTGCCTCTCACCATCTTGGGCTCCGTCCAGACCAGAGGGCCACTAATTAACAATGCTTCCTGTCTGCGGGCAAGCCAATCATCACCACCGTGTAGAACAGCACTGTCTTACTGTCAGAGGAAAACGTTTCCCGAACCCCCACCAGATCCACACTACAGCCTGCTTTTCTTTAACCCTCTTTTCCTTCAATTTACCAATTCAGTGTCTTTATGGGCATGACAAAGACATAAACACTGTTAAATCACACAAAAGAGAATGAAATTGTATCTCTAACAGGCTGACAACAAGACTGAGAGCAAATGAGTGAAAACAAGAAAACAGCAGCCAATCCTCCAGCCCTGGGGTGCATCTTCTGGAATGCGGTTCGTCTTCTGTCTCCACGCGCCCTCCTTCTCTTTCTCGTTAACTCTTTCCTCTGTATAATCCCCTCAAACACCCCTCATTCCTCGCTGTCATTTCTTTTCCCATGCTGTCTGCTTCTGCACGGTTTGACTTTATTCCACTCCTCAGCGACTGCCTCTTTGTTCTCCACCCCTACCTTCTCTCCCTTCTCTGCCTCTCCTTCCTCGCTCTCTCTTTGGTGAATTATTCATCAGTCTGTGTATGTCATTAATCAGCACTTGTTCAAAAGATATGATTGGGGGGCCGCAAAGGTGGGGGGCGAGAGAGGGGACATCGATCTGTCGAGGTGGAGAACAACATGAGGTGAGAAGTGAGAAACAAGGAATGGAGAGGGAGAGAAAAAGGAGGCAAGGACAGGGCAAGAGAGAACATGACAATGGCAAGCAGGAGACAAGAGGAGGGTAAAGTGATGGAGCAGGAGGAGAGGAAAAGAGGGCAGAGGAAGGTAGGACGAGGTAGAAAACATTAAGAAAGACAGTAGTGATGAGGGGGAATGGAATGAAAGGTAAAACGATCCAAACCACAGAATGGCCGGCAGGGCCGGGATAGACTGGGAGAGGGTAGAAAACAGATTGGTGCACATGTTGAAACAGACACATAAGCTGACTCTGTTTATTCCTCCTTTTCATTTCTTCTTCTTCTGAGGAGGAGGGTTGATAAAGTCGATGCAACTACCACGGCATGTGTGAAAGAGTAGAAACCATAGGAGCAATGGTAGAGCGAAAGAACTCAGGAACAGAGAGATGGAGGAAAGCAAGCTGACAATGATTTAGAGCGAAACCTAACGAGGGGAGGGGTTTAAGGATAAGAAAGGTTAATGTATTGATCTGGAGGGGAAAAAACAAAGTGAGTAGGAGTAGGTTGTTTGTGGTTGGCAGATCAGGGTGCACTGATAAGACACGGCTGTGATCAAACGTGAGCGGGGACTGTCGAGGGCCAAACCACTCTCCTCCATTCATCTCTCTTTAGGGCAGTCACTGTACCTTCCGAGCACTGATCCTGCCAAAGATCCATCGCTAATCCGCAAAGCATAAAAAGGGAGTCAGCGGGTGGGTAGGTGGGTGGGTAGGAGGCCTCTGAAGTGCACCGTGAAGAGAGACTGAGACTCTATGTCAATCAGCAACTGATGCAAACCCACTGGGAGTTGTACATTGCCCCACATCAAACACATCTCCGCTGCTTACACAAGCCATTCGCTGACAGCTTTCGGCAGTTGCGGTCCTCGAAGGGCTTTGAGACTTCCATCAGCAAACACCAAAAAATCACAGCTGGTAAGCAAGGGGGCCAGCGCCTAAAACCACGGAGTGACATTTCTTCACAGAGCCATCCAAATCTCCAGAGGCAACATGCAGCCAATCCAGGCTAATCTACAGTGAGCCACAGATATCCATGCTAATCTGCATAACAACGCATTGCACTTCCAAAAGCTTCAAGGGGAAACCACACACAATACTCTGCACACAATACACTCCACAGTGCAAAATGATGCACCTGCTTAGTTTGATCTGCTGGACAGTACCGATAAACATGAACACTCCTCTTAACATTTGCCTTCTCAACCTAGTCTAGCATGTGTCATATTGCTATACCTGCAACTGACAAGGAAATACTTTCATGACAAAACAAACAAACAAAAAAGAATATATATTATATGTATCAGATTTCTGTCAAGTTTTCTTGTCAGGGCAGGGTGTAAAAGCCTGATTCAGACCATAATCGATATTTAAAATCTTCAGTGAAGCCCATATAAGAAGAGAATTCCTATTGCATGGGTGATTAGTTCCTTAAAGCATTTCCCAAAGTATTTTCAGTATGAAAGACTTTGAGCATGTACACATATAGAGTGGTTTATTCTGCAGGAGATGTTGAGAAGTTTCTGCTGATGTTTTAACATTTTTTTCACTGTAGAAGCTTGTTAGTTTTGGAGTACATTTGAACTGACATGAATAAAGCTGACTTCAGTCTGTATGAAGCAGTAAACTACCAACTTGTACAAGCCACATTTCAAATCTACAGCGGTTCAGCCTTTGATGCCACAAAGGGACCTTTTGGGCAAAGAATTGCTTTAAGACAGGGTAAGGCACGTTTCATTGTGTGTTTTTAGCCATGCCAGTAGTACGGTTTTAGGGATGGCAGTGTTGGTCTGTCTGTGGATTGCTGTGAAATTTTGTCCTGATATACATGCCTCCCTTAGGAACTGTTATCACTTTGGTGATCCCTTGACTATTAAGCTAACGCCATAAAGTCACAATTCTAATGTGTCCAATACTTGGGTTTATGACTAATACCTGCAAAACTAATGCCATCAGCCTCAGCTGTACATTCTGATTAAATGTTAGCATGCTAACACACTAAACTAAGATGATGAACCTGTTAAACATTACACCTGCTTAACATCAGCATGTTTGCATTGTCATTGTGAACAAGTTAGTATGGATGGATAATAAAACTTGGAAACCGGACCCAAAGATGACGCTTAGATAGTCTAATGCAATTGCTCACCTGGCCCATACGCCAAAAAGGTTCTGGGTTTACTTCCAGGGGTATACAGCCCACTGAATATGCACAGTAGTGTTTCTCCGACTGGCCCCTACTGCAAGTTCCTGCTCTGCCCATAGCTTTACATTGTGTCACTGACAATTGCTTTTCTCTGTCCGAGCATTACATATTTTACAAATATAAAGCCTCCATGGCTCAAAAATGTATAATAGAAAGAGTCATAATTGACCTTTTTGTGTCTTGTCAACAATTTTACAAATGTCTCTTTTTTAACTGTGGTCTGTTTCAAGCAGTGTCAAAATGATTTCTGTGAAGCTTCAGGTGTGTCAGTTACCTGTGTCCAGCTGTCGATTGCGACCTCGCAGCAGGTAGCTGAACTCCTGGCAGCGTTCACTCTGGCTGTAACCTCTCGGGGAGTTGAAGCACAGCTCCTCCACCAACATCAGCGCCTTCTTGCACAGGTCTTCATCCCAGTCCCCCGACATCCTCCAATCCGCATCGCACTCTCACCGGCAGTCAGCCAATGACAGCGCAGCCCTCGCCGCCCTCACCTATCGGACGGCGATCTTTTAAGTAGAGTGTAGGCCCGTCCACCGTTTACAAGGTGTGAAATGAGAAAGTTGAGCAGAGGAATTTGAGGGGCAGCTGCAATAAGGGAAGAACACGAGGGGCTCTGCAGGGTGTCTTGGTCTGGATCACAGAGACCAGAGTGATGTGCCCATATATGACTGAGAGACACCCACCCCTCTCACTTTCCCTGAAAGAAATAAAGGGAGAGAATGTGTGAGTGAGTGTAGGACATAAAATAGTACAAATCAAGTTTTTGGCAGATTGGTCACCTTAGCCATTAAGTGAGAACACTGATGCCAAAACCATCAGTGTGTCCCTAATAGATCATTTGCACTGGTGCCACATAATATCACTTTAGCATACACTATAAAGAGTGATACCAGGGAACTGGGAAAAGTTTATCAAGTACAGCTAAATGCTAAAGTTTTGTGTTGAGACTGGCAAAATTTACATTAAATGTTTACCTATATTATGAGAAAAAACACATTTTCCCACTCAACACTTATCTAGCTATTAGCTACACTAGTAAACCTTCTGTCGCAACCACAAATCCCAGGCCTTACTGTTTTACTATCTTTAATACTTTTGGGGGGGTTTGGTGGAAAAAATGTTGACAGTGAGTTGTGCAGATTATCCTCATTTATAGGGCATAATGTCTGGCACTACACATTGCTGTTACATTTTTGTACATTTTGTGACATTAAAATGTCAATGGTTTAAGGATCACAGATACACTTCCATTTACCTCCATTGTAAAGGGCTGGCAGCAAAAGGCTCCTGGACAAATAAAATCCCCATATGTGGGGACTGTGGCCTATATACATAAAATATACAAAATAGTTAATGAGCCTTGACCTTCTCCTTGAGGTACAAATTAAGTATTTTGAATTTAATTGAATTGAATGAAAAAGCAGCTAAAGCTTGGTGGAGCTGCACAGCTGTGCAGAGTTGTGTAGTGATGCTTTGTGTTTCAGCACTACAGTTTTAATATAATTCCATGTTAATACAAAAATAAATTAATGCTAGTTTAAATATCCTATAAAATGAACCTTGTGTGGAATTACATGGCAGTACATTTTATATTTACCTCCTACTTTGGTAAGTGAAGGAGGCAGATGATGGGTAACTTTGCACAGCTAAAACTGTGTACCTTGTGTTACAAAAACAAACCTTGCTACAGTGACTGGTCTTAAGCAGATATAAAGTATTTTATTTTCAAAATGTATAAACGGACACAATTTTTTGAATAATGCCAGATGCTTCAGTGCTTACTCAACATGGTGGGTACCTAATTGCAGGGAATCCTACTGTCAACAATCTCCTGGGGATACAGTGACGATTTTGTGTCTAAAACTGACCAATGGGTCAATCCTTCTGAAACTTTGTCTAATATTTCAAAACAAAACACTCTTTACTGTAATTACAGAGCAATTTAGATAATTATGAGCTCTCTTGTTTTGAGTCCCTAAAACACAAATATGCTGAAAGAACTATAAACACTCTGAGAGTTAAAGAGACTGAGTACTGGTTACTCTTTCATTTGTAACTATACTTCTTTTTTAAATGATTTACCATATTCAATCTATTGCCTGGAAGGACCACCAGCTATCTCCAAATTTTCTTCACATTTTGCTATATAAATCCATTGTACTGAGGAAAACAATCATTTCATTAGCTTTAATAATGCCATAAAGCCATGGTTTGTGTGTTTTACCTTTACTGAACTTGACTCCCGAGGTTCTGGGCCATGTTGAATGTACAAGCCAGAGCGGAGACACTCTTTTTCTTTACAAATAGATTTGGCAGAGGAACGCACAGTTATGCCTGGAGTGCATGCATAACCTTTAACTTGTTTTTTTCCTAATGTTTCCAAGACCAGAAATGGGAGCCTGCAGAAAAGTGGCTTTTTTTCCTCACTGAAAGTTGAGAAGTTGAGCTCTTAGTCATTTGGCTTCAACAGTAAACGGTGGATCACATCTCTTTCTGTTGTCTCTCCAACAAATCAGCACGGATTGGAGATCACTGTCACATTTGTGGAGACTCTTATGAAGTTCCTCAACATCACCTGAAAAACAATTAGAACCAATCAATCAGTAAGGTGAATAGACACAACAAGAATAACACCAATAAACTGAAAAGCCAGATTTGCAGGATTTTAAAATCTCCTTAAACATCAGATGGAGGTATAATTAGATGTATTAAGCCTGACTGCGTTATGTCTGTGCTCCTTGTCCTTTCATCCAAAAGAAACTAGACTTCTTTAGCATACTGTCTTCATTTCTGAACTCATTCTGTCTAAATAAAAGCAGGTCAATGCCCAAACTCCAGTTTCTCACAGTCTGTGAGTCTCCAGGGACTCTGACTGAGGAGAATGTATGCAAAGTTGTGTCTAATAATACAGATCCATTGCAAAAAGCCTGGTATTGAATACGTCTTGCCAAAAATCTTGTACAAGCCCTGGTGTGATTGGAAAATAAATCACTTGCAAAACAATGTTCATGGTGAGATGTCGGCTCACTTTTCCACTGTGTGGTTTTGTCCTTGTGAGTAGACCAATTTCTCAAGCAAGGTGCCTCGATGGACAGAAGGAGGATTATTGATCATGTGATGTATGTTGTTCTGTAAAATGTCAGCGTCAGTCTTTGTGTATTGAGTGGCACCTCCCTAGCAAAGTGCTCCTTATGTGTCCATCTGTCTCCCATCCATCAATCAATCACTGTATTAGGCAAGGACATATTTCACTCCGAACAAGATCCTAAACAAGAAATGCTGCCACTCCCTTTGTAGTTTTCTTCCTCTCCTCTTAAAGACAGAAACACACTTTTCCTCTCTTGTTCGCCCTCTGTCTATGTCTCTTTTGAGAACACATTAGGATAGTCTGTCAGTCTAAGGGAAACTCCGATAATGCAGAGTCTATTTATCTGTCCATCTAAGCTCGGCCTATTGCAGAAAAGAATGTGAAATTAGCAAATTAAAACGGCATCCAGACCCAACCTCCTACACCAGCCCTCCTCTTGCCCCACACCACTCTCTCCCATTAAGATAGTAAATCTGTCTGAGTGACTTTAAAACCCAGGATATCTTAATCTGAAGAATGGCTGTCTGGCACAAAACTGGCCGCCACAAATGCCAGTGAAAGCATCAGGAGGGAGGGAGAGGCAAAGAACAAATGGACGATACAGACAGACAGAAAGAACGATTGTGTAGCAAAGAACAGAGGAAGAGGGAGATGGAGAGAGAGGGAAAAAAGATGCTGACATTAAATTGGAGGCGAGACAGATAAAGAGGGAGGGGAAAAAATTGGAGCAGAGAAGGACAGAAAAGAAAACATAGGAAGCTGGCGGCGAGGGTGACACAGCAACAATGATAATAAAGGGTCTGGGGATGCAATTTACTACAAGCAAAATATTTACAGAGGCTGGTTATTCACAGATAAATATGCCTTCAGAAACATGTTGACGAATCATTCCACTCTGAACCATTCCCAGAAACGTACATTCCTACTGTATAGTACAGAGCAACACTAAACCTCCCACAGACGCTCCATTGACTGCTGTTCTGCCTGGGATCAATACTCTCAGGGAACGAATACACCACAACACAAACCAGACGGCCGGTAAGGTCGCTGTCCGATTGGGCGGAGGAGACGTGGCGGCATTCAAGGTCACAGTCTAATCACACTAGAAAGGAGAATCAGTATACGGTCCTGTCTAATCACGTAACAGAAAGAAGAGGGGAACTGGAGGAGGTCGGTGCCCAATCATGGGAGAAGCTGGCCAATCAGATCATGAGTTTAATCTGGAGGAAAAAAGGCCAGTTGCACCAGAAAGAAGGGCCAGACACCCATTAAAAAGCCTTGATATATAAACCCAACTTCAAGGATATATCAGTCAGAAAGAGGCCACAAGTTTAACACACTACACAGGTGTCCTTGAGTAGGACACTGAGCCCCTAGCTTGCCCGTCCTGTTAATCACTAAAGATTAGAGCATCAGCTAAATGGCTCATTTTTAATGGCTCAGTTCAGCCATTACATCCTCAATCTAGCTTATAGTCAACGAAGCAGATGAGGCGTTTATGTTTGTATCTCCTTGTAATGAAGGGATCATTCTTGTATTTGCACAGAAAGGACAGATTTGGAGCCGACCTCAGGTACACAGACAGCACAGGAAAAAAAAATCCAATACAAATCAGAGTGAGGAAGCACATCCAAAATACGATGAAAAAAACAACTCTACACAGTACTCCCATTTCTTATTGCTGGAGCATACACCAATAAATATTTATCTAATATTGGATACACACACTCACTCTTTTTTGAGTAGTTGTATTGGATTTCTTACTTTTTGGCTCAGCACTCACACAAGAACCCCAGTGTTTTTTTTTTCTCTGGCTCAGAAATTCCACCAGAAACAGCTACAACCAAAAACAAATCCTCAAGCAGGGTGAAAGTGAATTTCATAAAAACCCAGGGGGGCGGGTTTTTCAGTAACAAGGATCATGTTAGAGAGTGCTACTGAAATCTGAAATCTGTATGTGAAATCTGTCTCTGAGGGATGAATCACACACCTCAGCTGGGTTTGGGAATTACAGTGATAAGGCATTCGAAACGCTGCTGTCTGCTGAATAAGAAGCAGAACACATTCAACTGCTTACCACAAACCTGAGATCTATTGCAAACCCATATCATCACTTGGCATTTAATTTTCGTTGTTCTATTGAAAATGTCAAATGTCAGTTGGCTTTATATTTAGCTTTTCCAGTTCAGAGGCAACTGGATCAATATTAGTTATAGTAGTGGAAGCAGTAGTAGAAGTATTATCTTGAGGTACTTCTGAGTTTAATTTTAGAGTTCACCAAACAATCGGGCATGTGTATGATCATTTTCTTTTTCACTTTTAATAGGAATTTGGTAAAAATCTGCTATTCACCTCTCTTTTTATTAAGCTTGGACTAGGAAATACTGTTCATTGGTAAAATTTCTAACAATTTTTATGGGGAGAAACTGAACACTTTCATAATTGCAAAATTTAGGTGAGAAAAGTCAGACCCTTTTTGCGTGAAAACATAACACTTCTGAAGACAAAGGAGACTAAGCCATTGGATAGGATGTTTCAGTTGGATCTCATTGAACCTGCTTTCATGTCCTATCTGTTGCCATGCTCTTTCTTTTGTTTTTATCTGTGCCTGGAAGTCATCTTTAATTGTATTGTAATTCTCATTCTTGCCCTGAATGCTTTTGTTGCTGTTTTTTGTTTTAAAGTCTGCAAATTTGCTTGAGAGAATTTCACACTTTTTGTTTGTTATGGCAATTTTCCAATGCTTCCTTTAAAAAACGTGTAATTTCTAGTCTGCTGTACAGACCAGTGACTTGGCCCTGTGACTGGATCCTCTCTGTTCCAGACTTTGATGCTGTCTGCTCTGCTGTACCCTGCTGGGCCGTATCATGTTGTGTACCATCTCAAATCGATGTACTCATGTACCCTTAGATCATCCACCATTCGTCAGGACTATCCCTGATTCATAGAGGTCATAACCTCTCTCCACCGGAGCTAGAATATCCTCCTTTTGTTTTGCATCACTTCCTTTTGAGGCCACAGCGATGTCTGCCCGAGACAATGCTATCATCGCTCCTCTCTGCTTATTCGGCTGTGACGGATTGATGCACAGGGGTAAACAGATAGGGCTACTACAACACATCTTTTTGGTTACTCCAGTAGAGCGGTACTGTGTTCCACCGGGACAGAGACGGCGCCGTATGAGGCCAAGATTAAGCGTGGGGATATTAATGTCTATTGACTAGAGGTAATAGCTTTGCTGAGCCTCAGCCTCGAGGTTGTTCCAATTTAGCCTATCCCATAATAGCTCCTGGACACCCTTTCAGCAAATAAATAACATGAGGTGGGAGAGAGTGGGCCTTTATATCTGCTCAAGACCATATATCTCTATAAACATGCAATCAAACACCCTTTCACATCCAAGTAGACACTGTCTCTTTTTATCTTTACCTATTTCTGTCCCACATTCACACATATCAAAGGTTGCTGTGCAGGCTTTCACAGCTTTCACCACTCTGGGCCTGTTGGAGCTGCAAGTGTCTAAATTATCTATAACATGGAACAGGAAATAGAGAGCAAGTGGACAGCCAGGAACCCTGGGATACTGGTGCTGCTCTTCCTGTTTCTTGCACAGCCAGTGGAGCTGCAGAACGGGACCTATTTACAGACAGGGAGTGTAATCACACACACACACACACACACAGACAACCGGCCGCCCTCACTCCATTTTTCACCTACCGCTATGTCAGAGTCGGTGAGTCAGTGTGTCTCAGTGGTTGGGGTTTCTTGACCATTTGCATAAATATGGTTCTCTGAGGTATGAAGCCAGAGCAACTGTGCCTTTGATGGTAAGGGGGGTAGGGTGGGGGTTGTGGGTGGGGTGGAGGGGGTGTGGGTGGAGGGTGAATTACGCACGTCTTACGCACGTCAACCTGTCATCTGTGTGTTTTCTGCGTGCTCGTGCGCGCACACCCAACTGTCTGTTCGTCTACGCTAAATCCAATAGCCTTCGTGTAGAAAAAAAGTTAAATCATCCTCATCAGTGTGGACAGCTGCTATTGATACACTTGTATTGCGGACACGAGCCTGGACAGTTCAGCCTACATAGCCTCTACTGACTGCCTTCACACAATATGCATCCCATTATGATCGAAGCATATATCTGCTAATGGTATAATGCAATATGTAAGAGTCGGGGTGATGCACAAATATTAAACATTAAATATTAATGGAAAACAGACACATGCTGCTAGATTTAGGGCATATTCGGCAGAGCCCAGTGCGGGATGCAGGATCAAAGGAGATATGCTGCGAAAACGCACACATCGCATATATCACAAACCTGAATGCATGCTGGCTACAGGAGCAAAACAAAGAGGATATCTTCCTACCTTGGCGTTACAGAAACCACTGTCTCCCTCTCTTTACGATTTACGAGCTTCTCCGCTGTTTTAGTCAGATGCGACGCTTGTAAAGGGGCATTCCGCCCTCTTTCGCTCTGTCCACCCCCTCCTCTCTCTCTCTCTCTCTCTCCAAGACGCACCGAGCAATAAGCCCCGCAACCGGGATGGCAGACTGAGAGGGAGAAATTACCAATATGATATCTGTGCCCTCTCCTCTTTCCACTCCCGTTTCCTGTGTTCTTCTCTTATATTTTTCCCCCCGTCTAGTGTTTTTTCCTCCTCTGTATTTCACTATCCCCTCCCTCTCACTCTCTATCATTCGGTTCCTTGCTTGCTCGCTCCCTCTCCGTTTTCCGTCCCTGTGCTCTGAATACTAATACTCTGTCTCTCGTCTCACTGCCTGTACAGCCCGGCCAGTGCTAAAGACATACTGATGTATGTGGGGCGAGATGAGGGAGAGGTGGTGTGTGTGTGTGCGTGTGTGTGTGTGTGTGTGTGTGTGTGTGTGTGCGCGCGCGCGCGCGTGTGTGTTTGTGTGCTGAAGTGTTTTTTGTGTATTAGTGGAAACCAAGGGGGGTCCGGGGATGGTGTGGAAGGTAATGAATAATAATACTCTTGCAGAGGTGGGTGGGTTTAGGGGCACATAAAATGTTACTTTTTTTTATGGTAGCATCCCTGAGATAGGAGGAGGAGGTGGAATTGGAGGTGGGGATGGGGGAGTGTGAGGAGGAAGTGTTGCTTGGATGTCAGGCGGTGGAGAGCAGAGCTGGATTGGAGAGCCAATGTTGTTCGGCTCTGAGCCAAAAAAGGACAATATGTGTGATGGTGTGATGGTGTGTGTGTGTGTGTGTGTGTGTGTGTGTGTGTGTGTGTGTGTGTGTGTGTATGTGTGTGTGTGTGTGTGTGTGTGTGTGTGTGTGTGTGTGTCTGTGCACACCATGGAAACCTCAACAAGAAGAACAACTGAGGTATACAGAGGCCATGATCTAGTTAAAATGAGCCACAGTCTTATTGGAGTCATGATTTGATTATGATATTCCTTCAGGCCTCATGAGGAGAGAGGGGGCTCATAAAAATGTTTCTCTGTTTTACGGTTACATCACCGGCAGGATAATGAGGACCCTCTGCAGTCGGTCGGGAATAGGTTTAGACAATGTGTCAAAGTGGTTGTTTTTAAAGTGGTGTTCCACAGGGTGCCCTTTGGGATCCTTGACTTATTCCCAGAGGGAGTCGCACAACAAAATGGAAAATAAAAACACTTGTAATTCGATTATAATCAAATTTGTTCTTCCGGGTCGAGAGAGAAATTAATATGAATGAAGTTTGATATCCAGGTGTCCAATTCTGTGTCAAATCACATCTATCAACAAAAATTTTATCAAATCTATGAGACAAAATAATTAGAAGATGTTACCCTTTGGGTTAATGTGTTGAAAACATGTGTGAACCCCTGCTACTCTACTTGCTGCTGAAACAGTGCCCACTTCAGCAGTTATGTAAGGCAAGTCATCCCTCTGCCCCTCAAGATGTTCATTGCATATGGGCCTGCTGCCATAATAAATTAACACAGTGAACAGTGTGAGCTTTTGATTCTTGTTCTCTGTGTGAAGTTTAGCTGCGTTTTTCAAGACAGGCCAATCATCAATGGCATTCCCTCATTTGTTACACTTCCTGTCACAGCAGATATTTCTCCTTCACCCTGCACGCCATGTCATGTTTTTTCACTGCACAGGAAAATGTGTCTGCGGTCATGTGGTTAAACGGGAAGGCTGTGCATTAATCATTTTTAGTTAAAAAAGAAAGTCCTTCTACTGTGAGTTCTGTTTTCAAAATAGAGGTAGGCACCTTCATATTTAAAGACAAGCGCACTGATGAATTAATCATACTCTCAGACTGTGCCCAAACAACACCTAATGGGCTACACAGCACAGAGAGGGTGGGGAGCTTGTATTACCTTAGCGTAAGTGAATCCAAATTTGATATTGTGCTTTTTATTATAATAATGGTGAGCAAAGATCAAGATGAAGCTTTAGACATTTGGAATCCACATCTAAAAGGGGTTTTCATTAGGGGAGCATTCAAGATTGTTCCTGCTGAGCATTTAGTGATCTACATCAAAGATTTTATCACACTCACAAAATAATAAAATCTTGTCACTCCTTATATCTAACAATTTGCCAAATGGACAAAACAACATAATAATGTATTCCCAGCCCTATTACTAATAACTTGTCTTACTGACAAAAATAACACCGTAATATCTTGTCAGTCATCACATATTTCCCTGAGAAATTATATTAGGAGGATTGGAGTTATGGCAGGAAATTATATTGAACTACAGGAAACAGGAAACAGGGATGGTAAAAGAAGGATGTATGATGGGAAAATATCTGTGTTTGGAACCCTGCAGCGGGCGATGATTGACTGATAAATGAGAGTAAACAGTGACCTCTGTTAACTGTCACAGCAGAGCACAGAGAGAGGCTGAGACACACAACAGAAGAGGACAGGGATGCATAGTGAGGGAATCAGGATACATAGAGAGGAGAGGAGAGAGGGAAAGTTAAACAAATAGGATTGAGAGAAGAGAGAACTAAAAGCTCGGCCGGCGGCAGCAGCAGCTGCTGTCGGACCACAGACCTTGTTTTCTCTAAAACAGACACTGGCATGACAACATCTCACATATATGGGTCAAATTATCCATTCCTGCAAGTGCACACAAAACACACTTAGCACATAAAGCACTTAGAGTACATGTAACTAAACATGATACATGTTCAGACCTATTAAAGGAAGTAGACCGGGAGTTGCTGGAGGGTAGAAGAGCCCACAAAGAGAGATTAAGTGTGACTAAAACCATGGGTGTCAACTCAATAAGGCGAAATGTGTCTGAGTCCAAATTTTAATGTAATGTTTTTAAGAATAACATTAAGAATGCAAAACCTAAAAATGCATCACATCCAAAATAATATATTTTCATTTAGTGTCTTGAATCATTTTCTACTTTGTTCCTAGAAATGTTGTTGACAAAAGCAGGTTTGACATTCCTGGTGAGAAATTATTTTAGATGTTTTGTTGTTGCCAGTGAAGGATGCCACAGTGCCGATCTCCTGCTAACATAGATTAAGAAACTTTCTCTTCTTTAGCAAATAGACATGTTCGATCAAAACATAGAGGATGGACTAGGTTTGTCGTTGAGGTAAGTGGTCAACAACACTTGTGAACCGGTGCCGCAATTACACTGTTAACTAATTGACAACATAGATTGTGAGTTTGAAAATGTTTTATTAGATTTAATTTGAATAAATGGTCCCATGGGCACATTTCAGTCAGAAGTGATTATTTAAAATTACATTTATTGTCTAATGATTACAATGGTGCCAGGCTATGTCCTCTACATTTGACATTTCTACAGGCATTGTGAAAAGAGCTAAGGCAAGTCTTTAGGCGTCAGAATCCGATATTTCAGAATGAAGAATAGTCTAGTTTTCTAGAATAGTTTTCAAAATCTGATAATTAGAAGTTTTGTTTGCATAAATATTCAGAATGGATACAATGTCATATTTTTGAGGTAGGTTTTCAGGGTCAGGGTACACTGTAAACACAACAGAACTGCTTTGCCTTCAATAAGCAGCAGAAAGAAATCCATGTTAAAAGTCGACGGACGCCCTGTTAGTTAGACTTTTCAAACTTCCACAGGGCTCTGCTTTGTAGGTTGCATCTTTGTTGACAAAGGTTGCAACATCATGATGAGATAACTTCTTTAATCCAGGGTTACTCAAATCACCATTCACAAACATCATAACCCCCATTACCTCACCTCAGCAGGGTGAGGAAAGGATCAGTTCATTGTTGACTTCTTTCTACCCTCTCTTCATCTCCTCATAATCTTTTCTACTCCCAACTTTTCTGTTGAGCAATTAAAGGGTAAAAAACAGATTGACATATAATAGAGACAGTAGATTCTGCACAGGTACCCATGGCACTCTGTTGTATCATCTGGGATAAATGTTTCTAAGATGAATGCAGACCTTGAAAAAACAAGAGATTATGTGAGCTCTGGCTGGTATAGGTATACCTCATACCTCATCATCAGCTCTCCAAGGTCCTCAAATTCTAAGCAGCTACCACCAACATCAATCCAACACAAGTCAGGATTTTCCCTTTTTATATCTTGGTAGGTACCGATAGCCTCCTGTATGCTGAGTCACGCTTGCTATGCTTCAAATACAGCAACAGCCAGAAAATCAGTCTACTCATCCTCTTCTCTGACCCTCAACTATTGTCATGTTTTGAAGCTGATAATATGTACCACTATTAGGGCTCGGAAATAAATAAACTGTTGAGACAGACCACAAGAGTCCATTCACTCAACGAGTTGCCCCTGTTGGTTGGGGAAATTTCTATGCTTTTCTGCAGTATCCTGTGGTTTTCACCTATAATTCAGCCACAATCCCAAACTCAAGAACATGGGTGCATTCCAATTTTGGGCCAAAAATGTCAGGATGTCTTTCTGCATCTGGTCACAGTTTACAGTATGTAAGCTAGCATGCTTTCCTGGATAATCTGACTCATTACACTCTGCGTAGCGAAAGATATGACGGATGACAGAAACTGCAGTGTATTCAACTGAAAGTACTACACACTTTTTGCGCCTCGTGTATAATTTAAAAATTTTGCGCTACGAACTGCAACGGAAGTCGAGCACAAAAATTAAAGTTGAAGTCGCAATGTTATGACAAGGTATTATAATCCAAATGTATGCATACTGCATGCAACAGTATGTACTTTGTAAGTGCAGCTGTATTTGTTGAGAGAATGCGATTTGGCAAACAGACTATGTCTCTCACCAGAAGAAGAGGGGGGTTGTCCCTCTTGGCAAGGCAAGACAGACGAGAGAGACACAGACATCACTTTAAAAGTACTGTCTCTGTGTGTCGGCTCTGTCTTGTCTTGCCAGAGGGGACAGAAATTCAAAGTTGCCCATAGCTCACAAAGTTTTACTTTCCCAGCAGCACCAACAAAGCAGAACATAGAGGCACAATTCACCTTCTGCCAAACAAAGTCCTGTGCAAAACAACAGGACAGGGTGCAATCCAACAAAGACTTAAAGACAAGCAACAGTTTATGACAACTGAATTTTATTTTCATAACTCTAGCCATAATTTTCATCAGGTATGATAACACTGTACTCACCAAAGTTATTGCTGACATCTTAGAATCAAGCAGAACATTACTAAAATGGTCAGATGATCAAGGTTGTAAACAACCTGCCAAATTAGCTGCCTTGCTGTGTTTGTTGTGGCAAGTCACTACATCATTGTCCCATCTACTCCTCCTCCTTTTGCAAGTGTGTGTGGAGGGTTTGCCCAGGTCCATC